TGAGGAAAAAGTCCAACACAAATCTGTGGCTTTCACACACACACACACACACACACACACACACACACACACACACACACCACATACCACCCATACAACACCACACACACACAAACACACACATCACATACACACATACCACACATACAACACACACATACACACACACAACACATATACAACACACACACACCACATACACACACATACCACACATACAATACACACACACACCACACACACACACATACCACACATACAATACACACACACACCATATATACACACAAACACACACACAAACACACACACACACACACACACACACACACTTGCTGGGACAAACACCATGACCAAAAGCAACTTGGAAGGAAAAGGTTTATTTTAGTTTGCAGCTTGTAGTCCATTATAAAGGAAGCCAGGGCAGAAACCTGAGGCAGGAACCTGGAGGCAGGAACTGAAGCAGAGGCCATGGAGGAACACTGCTTGCTGGCTTGCCCCCCCATAGCTTGCTCTGCCTGCTTTCTTAGAAACCCAAGGGGTGGCTCTGCTCACAGTGAGCTGGGCCCTTCCGCATCAGTCATCCGTCAAGACCATCTAATGGAGGTAATTCCTTAGCTGATTTCCCTCTCCCAAGATGACTCTAGTTTGTGTCAAATTGATTTTTTTAAAAAATCCTAAACAGCACACACATAGCACCACACATGCAAACATGCATACACACATGTATAACACATACAAATACTAAAGAAAAAGAGAAAGTATTACACCACATGATAAACATTGCATAAGCCTTACACATTTGGGACACAGAAAATCTGGAATTAAAAACAGATTAGCTATTCCTAAAACCCCCGAGTTTCACTTTCAAGGCCCTGAGATTTGCTGGCAGTTCTTGCCAGAAGACAGAGTTTTCTGTGTGGGCCGGGACACATCTACTCTTCCCTGGGAGACTCAAGATTTGCTTCAGGAGTTTAGAACCCACTTCCTCCCCCACACTGAACCTGTGGTCTAGCCTCTCAGACCCCACTGTCAATTCTCAGAGCCTTGGAAAGACTGTTGTTCCAGGCGGGGTGAGGCCACTGCTTCTCTGGACCCAGCTTGTTCACCTGTGAGATGTGAGCTGTCTACGCTCTTGTGATGTCGTGGTGTCCCTAAGGCCAAAAGCAACCTTTCTCTTAGGATCCTAAGGCTTCTGTGTTTTCCCATTTTCCTTTACAAGGAGAAGACACTGGGCATAACCAGTGTAAAAACAACCTGGTGTCTCCTGGACTCAGGATATAGTGCTCCTTTCCCAGAAGGTGAGGAGTCTGGGAACAGCTTGAGGACACTCGGAGCCTTGGAAATGACAAAGCCATGCCCCTCCAGCTTTTCCTTCATTGAGTTACAGGTGGAGGCAGGTGACTGTCCTTCACCAGTTCTCCTCACCAAGTCTTTACCACAGGCCTGTCCCAGCAGGGCTGCACCGGTTCAAGGTTGCTAGAATAAATATGGAGTTCCAGTTTGACTGGATTGCCAGGGACACAGTTTTCTCTCGTCCATATGAGGCAGGCTAGAAATACAGGAGCACCTCACTAGAGTCCTGTTGAAGCCTCCTGCCAGGAGAGAAGCAGGAGTCCTCCTAGCAGGCTCTGATGCTCAAGGCCCCTCCCACTTCCTAGCCGGGCCCCAGAATTTTCTAGGATTTCTAGGAATCTCACCAGAAGTCCCACTTACAGAGAAAGCACAGGCACCAATACTGTGCAGTCCTAGGCTCCAGCTTTGATCTTATCAGATTAGAATTCCTCCTTACTTATCTGAAAGAGAGAGAGAGAGAGAGAGAGAGAGAGAGAGAGAGAGAGAGAGAGAGAGAGAGAGAACGGCATTTCTTAGCAAACTCCTAAGATGCAGCCTAAGGTGTTTATTGGCGAATATTAAGACAATGAACTGCACGTCTCCCTTGGGAGCCTGTAGTCACACTTGGGGGTGTCTTACTTTCACCTCCTCTGTCTTGGGGAGCACAACACGTGGGTGTCTTTCTTCTTGAATGCCCTTTCTTAACATTCATCTTTAAGTCTATATTTAAAAGCCTTTAATAAAGTCTGCAACTGTACTTCATCACAAACTGGCTTTTCCTGAGATTCTCAATGTCAAAAGCACAGATTCTGGTTTGGCCAGAGTTGAGGTCCCTAACAACTCCCCAGGCCCTCAAGGAGTGGCAGTATCATGGAGTGTCTGGGTCTCCTCACCACCGACATGGCCAGTGTAGTGTCAACATTGTGCAGGGCAGTGGAGGCATGCCTTAAACAAGGAATCTGGAGATTCACTCGTCAAGTTGACAAGCCTTGTGTGGAGGGGACCGGCTAGAGCATGGAGAAGCCAGGCCTCAGCCAGGACTGCACTGCAGAGCTGGACTTCGGCCCCTGCTCTTGAAGTGTGCTTCCTGTCTCCCGGATGGACAATGAGAAGGGAGGCTTTCCAAAGAGCCTGCAGCTGGAGGAAAGTCGGTTCAGGTGAGTGGGGAATGCCAGGGGATTCCCCCAGGGCACCGGGTGCTCAGATAGCTGCACATGGGGCTCCCTAGACTAGCTGCTTCCAACAACGGAGGCCTGATACATACGGTGAATGGAGCAGGGTTCCCCAGGGCAGCTGCTGGGGCTCCCCTAGTGAATGGCTGGCCTTCCAAACGACTGAATGGGGACAAAGAGGCAGAGAGGTGCCTCCGGGGTGTGGGTGGCTATGAAGCCTCAGCTGTGGCCACCAGCCATTCAACTCTAATGCTCCTCATTTGATTATAATTTTGTGGGGTGACTCTTTATGTCCTGAAATGAAAGTATAAAAATGGCCTTTTAACTTTCTTATACTCTGGGCATTTTTTGAGATGAGGTGAGTTTACCTCTTCAGGCACACTCCATCCTTATGAATTCAGGGTTTTGTGAAGGATGTTTATTTTTTAATATCAAGTATTTATTTATTTATTCATTTATTTTATTTTATTTTTTGGTTTTTCGAGACAGGGTTTCTCTGTGTAGCTTTGCACCTTTCCTGGAGCTCACTTGGTAGCCCAAGCTGGCCTCAAACTCACAGAGATCCGCCTGGCTCTGCCTCCCAGTGCTGTGATTAAAGGCGTGAGCCACCACCGCCCGGCAAGTATTTATTTTTTTAAGTGTATGTTTGGCCTGCATGTATGCATCACGTAAATGCCTGGTGCTCATGGTGGCCAGAAGAGGGCTTTGGATCCTTTGCAACTGGAGTCACAGATGATTGTGAGCCACCATGCGGATGCTGGAAAGTGAACCTGGGTCCTCTGGACAAGCAACCAGTGCTCTTAACTGCTGAGCCATTTCTCCAACCCCAAAAGATGCTTATTTTTTTTAAAAAATAAATTTCACTAGTAGACACCCCTGGACTGTCAAGCACATTGCTTTCCCCTGAATGCCTTATGATGTGTGAAGTAGGCAAACTGCCCAGAAGAAATCCATCTGTATACGCTGGACATTTGTCATTTGGCCCTGCCCTCGCCAGATTCCTTTCGTGCAGTGGTGGTTGGTTGCCTTAAATTTGGCTGACCTTGGGTGTGAGGTCTGCCTTTTTGTTTTGGGAATGAGCTCCAAGTCCTCTGGTTTCCTAACTTGGTCCATGTATCCTGTGTTTCAAGTCTGCTTGGGGAAGAGTACTTGGGTGTCCTAATCCATGTGACCACAGTCCCGTGCTTTACATTTTAGTACATCTGTATCCTCAGGTAGGGATCCATGATACTTGGTACCGCCACCGTGGTCAGCACAGACCACCCAACATAGACACATAGACAGGATGCCTTCCTTGTGTCGCCAACACTTCCCAGCAAAGCCACAGCCCAGTCGAGGAGACAGCCTCGAGCAGGGGCTCCTCCGAATGCATGTGTGTTCGTTACATTTCTCATCGCATTGACCAAGGGAAAGAGGGCTTATTTTGGCTCACAGGTAAATGAATGCAGTCAGTCCATATGGCAGGGAAGGCAGCGAGAGACTGGGTCCTCCGCATGGGCCAGGAGGCAGGGACAGGGGAGGGCAGTGCCAGGCTGGATTTTCCCTTCGTCCCATTTCCCTGCAGTCTGGGATGTCAGGCACCCAATTCCTCAGTTCAGGGTGGCCTCCCCTTCTCAGCCAAACCCTTCTGGAACACTCTCACAGACAGCGGGCCTCATTCGCATCCTCACTGGTTTTTAATCGATGAGTGATAATTAAATTAACCCTCCCGGTATTAATCCCCAAGGCTCATAACTGCTGGGCAGAGAAGAGCGGCCACAGGAACTGCTAAAACCAGTCAAAAACCACCCCAAACTGCAAACACTGAATCTGCATACCACTTCACAAAAGTGAGTTCAGTAAATCTTTGGAGGCTGCTGGAGGGACTTCAGAAGTCACCTAGAACAAAAGTGTTTATCGCTATGGATAGTTTCACTATAAATGAATTATCCGAAACGTGCTGGAGTGAGCTGTACATTTGACATGGCTTTAGGAGTGCAAATTTGGATGTGATTTGAGTGTAAACTTGAATGTGATTTATCTTAAAGACTTGGCTCTGTGTTACCTGTAAGGACACTGGTCTAGTCCCCTCTGGATTTTACCTGCTAACTTTTAGGAAGTCACACCATTATTATCTAAAGATGGTTGATTTCCTGGCTTCAGCCAACGTTTTCTTTTCTTAGCCTGCCTCTAGTGAATCTTGTCTTTCTTGTCTTTGCCTGCCACCTAGGGTCGTAAAGGGATAACTACAAGGGACAAAGGAATACCTTCCTTAGCATGGAGTGCAAGCTAGTTTAGGCAAGGTACTTGTGAAATAAGGTAGACTGTCCTCTAACTGAAAGTCAAGGGAGAATTCCCTGTTTACCCCCTTCTGCATGGACATGCATGTGATTATAATCAGGTGCATTATGGGAAGAAACATACTCAGTAGCAAAAAGTTTGTAAGTTTAATTGTCAAAATAGGGACCCATGCAAATTAGGCCTGTTAGTAATCAGGGCCACCTTCCTCCCAACACCATAAACAAGCCACAGGCAGTAACTCAGGGTCCTCGAGTACTGTCCTTCCTGTGGCCCAGTGTCACTTTTAATGGTGTGTTTCTGGTCAGCGCTACCGCTTGGCTTTTGTACAGTTTCTTTGCTACTTTGCAGACTGTGCACGCTTTTATTTCAGTCCCTTGAACAAAATACCAAGAACCTGGAAATACACTGTCCAGCCACCAGCCACCGGGAACAGTATCTTCTCACGTTTGAGTTTTCTCTTGTGTGTACTTTTTTTTTCTTCCTTCTATTTTTGCCCCTACTTCCCCATTGGGGAACTAACCTGGCAGCATGCAGGTCACAGTGAAAACATGGGGGCAGAGGAGCTGCCTCCTCTGATGGCCCCTGTCCACCACACATTGTTGGATCATAAGATCTTTATTGTTCTCTTTTTGCTGAGAAAGCCTTTTAATTGTTTCGATAAAGTTAAATCAATCAGAAACTCACCATGATCTAGGACGCTGAAATCATTTGCTGGCAGGTGGATTCCATCACCCAGACGCGGAGGTTCTTAGGCCAGAGAGCCTTGTTTCGCAACAGAAGCCGCTCAGGCAAAGGGAGGCAAGTGTGCCGAGCAGGGATGAGGTAGTCAGTCAAAGGATGGAGCCGCCATTTATGGTGGTGCACACCAGTAGGAGTTGCTGAAAGAGGCAGAGGCAGGAGGATCACGAGTTCGAGGCCAGCCTGGGCAAAGGACAGGAGCCAGGGGCATCTCTACTCTGTTCACCCCTGTTTTTTCTTTGTTGGGTACTCAGGGCATGGTTTTGGAGGTAAAATGCCTTCCAGAAAAGCAATTTCCTTTGGTAAAGAAATGCCATCTCTGGAAGCTACCACTGGCATGAGTGTATGCAGCTGCCAAGCTAGGGTTCTATTCTCAAGGTACTAGAGAGTAGCATAGAGCGTTAGGATGCTGTGTCTTCCCCCAGGGACAGCCAGGAGTGGCTAGATATGTGGAATTCATTTGTAACCGTGGCACAGAGGTAGGGCATGGGGTGGTAGGGATAGGTGGATTCCTAGAGTTCCCTGGCTTGGCAATCTCCCAAATCAGTGAGTTCCAGGTTCAGTGAGAGATCCAGTCTTTAAAAAAAAAAAAAAAAAAAAAAAAACTAGGGTGGAAAGAAAAACAGAGGAATACATCCAAGGCTGACCTCTGTCTCTACATGCACACACACAAATGCATACACTTGCATACACATGAACACACACACATACACACACACACACACACCGCTGAATGATGATTAGCCTCTGCCAAGTCTATGCAGGCACAGGGTTTACCTCCTTGCTCTTGCTTACTTACTCTGGAAGACGTAGCTGCTATGTCCAGAAGTCATTGGAAGAATCTGGTTGCCATGCCAGGAGGTCATTCAAATGACCCACGGAGAGAACCATGAGATAAAGATCAGGGACTCGTGTTCATAGTCCTGTGAATGCGTTGTCTTAGAAGCAGGCCTGTGAGCCCCAGCAGAGCCTTGGGTGCCTCCAGACCCAAGCCATCATATGAGAGGTTGTCATTTGGAACCCCCTAAACTCCTGACCCTCAGCCAGTATGTGTGGGAATGTACATCTACTGTGTCCACTGCTATGTTCTGGGGGGCTCATTGGGTGGTAACTGCAAAGAATAAAATGGGTGGTGGTTAGAGTGAGAATGGCCCCCATTGGCTCCCGGTTGATGAAACTGTTTGGGAAGTATCAGGAGGTGTGGTCTGGTCAGAGGAGGAGTCTCACTAGGGGCAGGCTTTGAGGTTTCAAAAGACTCCTGCTATTCCCAGTCTCTCTCTCTCTCTCTCTCTCTCTCTCTCTCTCTCTCTCTCTCTCTCTCTCAGATCCTATGTGAGCTTTCAGCTGTGTAGTGCCACACCTGCCTGCCTGTTGCCATGCTTCCTTCCATGATGGCCATAGGTTCTAATGAAACCATGAGCCCCACATAAACTCTTCCTACTATAAGTTACCTTGGCCGTGGTGTCTCATCAAAGCACTAGAAAAGTCACTAAGATGGGTTATATTGTTATTTGCTCTAAGAGTGTCCAATCTGAAGTTCTTCCACTTGCTTAAGTTCATGTGGGTGGGGGAAGAGCAGAGTTTCACAGGCTTAAGAGCACTGGACCCCACACACTACTCCATCTGAGTGTGCAATTTCACAGTTTACCTCTATCTGAGGATGGCGGGGGGCAGGGGGGCAACATGACTTCTAATGAGGAAATCCATAGTCTGCAGACCAGAGACTGATAGGTTGAGTGACAGGACTTCCAGAACAGCTTAGAAACAAAACCATATACCTGGTTCCATCCAAATCCATATCCCAGGGATTGGAATGCCCAACTGCCCAGCTCCCTAAGATGACATCAGGCAAAAAGAACTATAAGCTGTCTACTGCAGTGAGCCCACACTTTTCCCTTGGCAGGGAAGCCAAGATCTCAGGCAGAATTTCTCTCCGGGTTTGCTGGTGTGTTTGCTTGCAGTAACCAAGGATTTGGAATCTCGATGACGCAATCTTTTCCTGTCGCCTGTTTCTTCTACTGTTGTATGTGTCTGTCAGAGATGAAGTCATTTTGCTTCATCTTCTGACTTACTTCTCTGACCCAAATATTTCTGCAACATTCACCCAACCAGGTTAAAAAAGCAACCTTACTGGAACCATCTTTGTAAGCCAGTCACCCCCTTATTTGTTGTGCCTCGTGACCGTCAAAGTGACTTGTAATCAGGGAAGAGCTGGACAGCAATTTCCCTCTTCTCCCCAGTAGTCTGGGCTCAGCTGGAGGCCACTGTACCGCGGCAACTTCCATTTCAATGACATTATTTCTAATAAATGGCTACCCCGCGGTTTATGGGGTGTTTCTGGCCCTGGCTCAGCATAGCCATCAGGAGTTGGGGGCAGGGCTATTTCCTGTCCTCTCTACCCAGCGGTTTCTGCTTCACCGTGAAAGATCACAGGAGTATTTGATGTTGGTTCTTGGAACGACAATCGGTTAATTAAAATCACCGAGAGTCTGAACAAATTGAATGCAAGCCACACATCATTGGCAGCGGGCTAGAGTCAGAAAGTCAGGCCCAAAGAAGCCCTCAGCGGGGCAGGGACCAGGAAATGCCTCTTCTTAGCCAAGCTCTCCATCTTCGGTAATAACTAGTGGCAGCGGGGTGGGAGGAGATGGAGATGTAGTGGTCATTCATCTTTGCCTTCTAGCCACACATCCTTGATTCTCCTACCAGCAAAGCTCTTAACTTAAAGAGTAGTCATGGAGATGGAATCCTCCTCATTTCACACCCACTTCTCTGAGTGTGGAAACGCTGTGGGAGAGGGGAGGAAAGAGAAGAGGTCAGAGGGTCTGACATCATAGCACTTAGCAGTGGTCATCCTGAATGGAGAAGCTCAAAGCTGGTGCCGAGTGCGTTCTCAAATGGTGTTTAGATGAAAGGACATGCTGCCATGTTTCACTCATGGAGACTCTTCTTTCAGGGGTCTTGTCCTTGGCTTTGACCTACCTCTGTAAACATCAGATCTGAGGTTAGCAGGGTGGAACCAGCCTGGTACTGTCTTTACGTTGTACCGTCATTACAAGTAACAGCAAACCGGAGTTTGCCCTCTGCTCACCAAGGCCACTCATGTCAAAGGTACTTACATGACTGCAGAACTGCCAACAGGCAGTCTTCCAGATGCAGGGAAGGTGACAGAAGCATTGTCCAGTCGTCTCTGCACTGAGGAGCTGAAGTTACATCCCCTCTCCATTGCTGGGCACCAAACAAAGCCTGCCAAGGGCTCCGTGAACACAAGGTTGTGGCTTCCATTAGTGAGAATGTTGAGGGACGAAGTAGCTTGTGAAGATCATGGCCTGAGCCTTCATGAAGTAATCTGAGATCATTCCTGTAAATTACAGAATGCTTCTCGATGTGTCTATTGACTAGTTCATCCTGCTTGAATATCATCATGTACATACAAATTGTTGATTGTAATTGGCCAGGGAGGCTACTTAATTTTATCTGTAAGCCCAAATGCTTACGTGTGTGTGGAACAGGGCTGTGCCAGGAACACAACTCTTGCGGTTCAAGAATAAAAAGTACAGATCCATCTGAAGATTCAACTTCAGCATAGCAGGTGAACCTTGAATCTTGGAGCCACTAATTTGGGGGTAGAAGGAAGACACGTGATTTTCAAGATCAACTGCACACTGGCTGGAGACTACATCGATTTAGATTCCATTCCCACTTATATCACATTCTTTAGTGATAGAAGATCCCGAGTTCATCTTCCATCTCCTAGAAATTTATCTCAATACATGGTAGATTAAAAAAAATAGTATGGATGTGTTGGGAGGTGGATGCAAACACGCACAGTGCATGTGTGGTGGTCAGAGAACAATGTCTAGTGTCTGTTCTAAGGTGCCTTGCGCCTTCGGCTTGAGCCAGGGTCTCTCATTGGCCAGGAACTTCATCATTTAGACTGTGTAAGCTAAGCCAGCCTGTGAGCTTCTAGTTCTCTGCCTACCTCTGCCTCCCATCTCAGCATGGATGGCATCAGAGGCTCGAGCCAGTGGACCAGCTTTTTAGTGTGGGTCCTAGGGGTTCAAACTTAGGTCATCACAGACCTGCGTGAGCTGTCTCACCAGCCCCTGAAGGATGAATATGATCATTATTTTAGAACTAGGAGAGACCGCAGGTGTGGTTCACCATTTCCCTCTTTGCGTGTTTATAGGGGAGGGATGGGGACAGGAAATTGTCCAGGGGCACACAACTTGTGTGACACAAAGGGAGAGAAGTGATGTCAGTCCTTGTTTACACCCCTTCTCGATCTGTCCCTCTCTGCTCTTTTCTCCCCTCTTATCTGCAAATGCCAGCAAATTTCTCTCTCCATTACAAATATGTAAATAAGCACCCCAGACACCCTGAAACTAAGCCTCCCTTTGCCTCCGTGGCCACCTCACCTCTTCTCTCTTATCTCCATTTCTAAGAAAGCGATCACTGCTGGGCTTACCCCACGTTTTCTGATAGATCCCCAACTGTCAGTGAGCTGCTTTCTGTTCCAGGCTGCCTGTACATTTCTGTTTTCTCGGTGACACTCCAGCGCTGTCACTTTGTGCTCATGGCTTCTTTGATAGCACCCTGTCTTGTTGCTGCTCCTAGTTCCCAAGTCTGCTGCCTGGCCTCTGAGAGCATTGCTTCTTGCTGGCATGTCTGTGTTCCGCATCACACAGTTCTTCACATCTGTGCTGTGTCCCGGATCCATGTCTTTCAATTTATGGTTAACTACGAAGTAGGTATAAAGTCTCTATGGTAACAAAGTACATCCTGGACGGCACTGCTGAGCCTTACATCTGAATATCCAACCATTCTCTTTCGAATCTCCACATGAAAGTATTTAAGGATCTTTTTCCCCCCCCAGTATGTCCAGAATGAAATTCGCTCTGAACACCCGCCTCGTGGGCCAATCTTTGTGTATCCTGTACAGTGTGGACGATCAGTAAATTGTTGGTCGAGTAAGATTTACTTGGAATGCTGATGGGGAACAAGCATTTGAAATCTGTAGAGGTAAGAAAGTCTCCAAGGCATCCAAGGGCTGGAAGTTGGAATATTGATGAGAAAGGACTTCCAGCTCAGTAGTGATGACACCAGGTCCTCCCTGGCTAGGTGTGGTTCTCTATCCCCACCTAGTGGACACCCTCCGGCAGCCTGCGAGCCTCCATCTTTTCATTAAAAACGTCTACCCAGTTAAAGATGGGCACTGTAATAGTACCTACCAAACGCGCAGCATAATTAAGTCGCTCAGCTTAATCTCCACAGAAGGGTAGGTGCCATTCTCCTCATTTTTCACAGCAGCAAATAAAAATGAAACAAAGAACATTTAAGAAAGTTGCCTTACGACACAGCTTTCCCCTCCTTTCCATTTTTTAAAAATTCTTTTTGTTTCATTTGGATGTTGCTGTTTCAGCTCATTTATTAAAGAACATGAACAGTCAACTGATCTAAGTAAGAGGCACAGTAGCAAAAAGAAATTCTACCAAAAAACGTCAGTGATTCTAACCAACACAAGAAGACACGCAACATCTAAGCCTGGCTCTGACTCTTCTCAAATGTGAGCTCATGAAAGCCCCACGATGACCCTCGAGGGCATGCCTCTTCCTGGTTTGCCTTCTCAGGGACACTACCTGGCCATGCTGAAGCCGGGACAACACGATACCGTGTAGTCTGGCTCTGGAGGTGGGAACCTTGCCACCGTTAAAATGCTTCCTATATAAAAACCACTAAAGGGAAAAACGTGTCTTGAGGTGTGTTTATTCATTGGATTTCCCAGATGGCATCTAATCCTCTACTTTTTGCATATCAGAATTTCAATCAACACTTATTGAGTCTTACTGAGATTATAATGGATACTGATAGATTAATCTGTCTATCGCAATTAACTTATTTACCCTTCGTTCAAAACTTTCTGGAAGCAAAACTGCCTTCATCCAAACAGACAGCTTGAGATGGCAAGGGGCTGGGGGAAAGCACTCCAGAATTTGGGAGTGTCCTCTTACCCGCTGCAGTGGCCCATGGCTAATCAGATGCAGATGCAAACCCCACTCCTTGGCCTCAGTTCTGCCACAGCCACTGAACTCCCTGTTCGGTCACCTGGGGATTCATCCTTCCGCTGAACTCTTTGGTGGGCGATTCACTGGCTCTGATTTACATCCATATCACACAGATTTTGCAAAGAGAGCTTTCCTACCTCCCAAGAGCTCTCTGTCCTCATCTGACAGGGCTTTGGCAGTCCTTCAGCATGCTGCTTAGCTTTGTTTTGTTGCTGATTTTGTTTGATGGTTTTTGTTTTGGTTAGCATGACACAAGCTGTACTCATCTGGTAAGGTAACCTCAACTGAGAAAATGCCTCCGTCAAATTGGCCTGTGGGGAGGTCTATAGGGACATTTTCTTGATTAATGATTGATATGGGCAATGGCACCTCTAGACAGGTGGTCTTGAATTGTATCAAAAAAACAAAAACAAAGCCAGGCAGTGGTGGCACATTCCTTCAATCCCAGCACTCAGGAGGCAGAGGCAGGCAGATCTCTGTGAGTTTGAGGCCAGCCTGGTCTGCAGAGCGAGTTCCAGGACAGGCTCCAAAGCTACAGAGAAACTCTGTCTTGAAAAACCAAATAAATAAAACATAAAAAAAAAAAATCCAAAACCAAAACAAGAAGAAAAACCTGAGCAAGCTGTGAAAAGCAAGCCGGTAAGCAGAGATCCTCCATGGTCTGCTTTAGTTCCCACCTCCAGCTTCCTGCCTTCCCTTCCCTCAGTGATGGGCTGTGATCTGGAAGTGTAAGCCACCCCGCTTCTCCCCAAGCTGTTTTCTATCCATGTTTTACTGCAGCAACTGAGAAAGGGCGTTTGCTGAGGCTGTTCGCCTGCTCAGACTGACTCTGCACTTCCTTGTTTGCCAGGCAGTTTCGACAGGCTTTTTCTATTTCTCCAAAGCTTCCTGTGGAAGGAGACTATGAAAAAAGGGCATCTCTGGTAGTTTTTCTCCCTAACAGGACTATTTATGAACAATCTTCAGTAAAGGATCATTTCCGGATGGTTGTGTTTTGTTTTCCACGTGTGATGCAATGAAACAAAATTTGGGGAACAAAACTTAACATTTTGGACTAAAAATATTTTGAAAACACCAGTTTCGGTGTTTTCATTAGCTAGTCTGTAAGTTAGCTCATCTTGACCAATCCCAATTTAAACAGGATTGTATCATTGTGTGACTTTTCCTGGGGCATCTGAAAAAATGTCTACTCACCCAAGAGAGGGCTCCACCAGCCGAACAAGGAAGCAACTTTAGGGCCTGGGGAGATGACTCAGTGGCTGAGAATGCTTGCTGCTCTTCCAGAGGACCCATGTTCAGTTCCCAGCACCCCGCCAGGAGCCTCACAACCATCTGTAACTCCAGCACTAGGGGATCTGACATCTCTGGGCTCCACAGGCACTCATGTGCTCCTATTCCACATGCACACTCACACTCTACACATAATTAAAAAAAATAATAATAATCTTAAGAAGCAATTTCACTAAAGTCCAACTTGGAGAACTGATGAGTTTATTGGGGTTACTTACAGGAGTATGGACTACTCAGAGGCAGCAACATCACTAAAAAGCCCACCCCACCTGGATGATAACCCGCAAAAACTGAATCTGAGAGCTCACTGCGTGACATGGAGGCAGCGAGAGGTAGCGAGAGTCTTCTTCCCCCAGCAGTCCTTCTTGCTTAGATAACCTTGGGGAAGAGTGTCAATCTTTAAGTTTCAGGGACTTCCTGAGACTTGTGTATTAATTCTTGAATCTTAACAAGTCTCCCTTTAGGCTGTACACGTTTCCATTTGGAGGGTATTGCTATATAACAATGTCATATATTTTGAATTTTATGCGTTTCCCTCTATTTACCCCTCCCCATGTGAGTTCCATGGCAAACAGTTAAACTGCATTAAAATTTCTCTACGTTAATTTCATTTCTAAATGAAATGAAGTTACCTTCTTACATCCCTCTCTTGCTCTAGCAGCCATAAGATTCTCTAGCCTCCAAATGGCAATAGTATCCTTGAAACTGATGGACTGTGCCCTTCTGGTTCAGATGTAAACCTATGGAAAATATGTCTTTTCCTAGTGTTTAAATTGGAAACAACAGTTGGAATATATAAAAAAAAGTTTAATCTTTTTTACTAAATGGAGACTTGGCTGTGTCAGTCTCTTTAAAAGGGGCATGGATGGCCAGGCAATGGTGGTACATGCCTTTAATCCCAGCACTCAGGAGGCAGAGGCAGGTGGATCTCCGTGAGTTCAAGGCCAGCCTGGGCTACAGAGCGAGTTCCAGGAAAAAACACCAAAACTACACAGAGAAACCCTGTCTTGGAAAAAAAAAACCAATATAATAATAATAATAAAAATAATAAAATAACAAAAGAGGGGTGTTGGGGATTTAGCTCAGTGGTAGAGCACTTACCTAGCAAGCGTGAGGCCCTGGGTTTGGTCCTCAGCTCTGAAAAAAAAAGGGGGTGGGGAAGATGGATAAATGGGAAAGATAGAAAGATGTAATTCACAGTCCTTCATCAACGAGAATGTTCCTGTATGAATACATCAGAGCTGTTTCTCTGTTTCTTACTCTAAGATCTTTTCTCCTGAGATCAGTTAAAAAGGATTTTCTAGCTCTCCTTTCTTGGACTCAAAATTTAAATAAATAGTTATGTTTGAATGTGAACTGTCTCCAATAGGTTCGTGTTAGATGATTGGTCCCCAACTCTTGATGCTAGATTCTGGAAAGCTTAGGATATAGGGCTGAGTTGTATTGAGTCAACAGGGGTATGTTCTTGGGGGCTGTAGTTTGTCCCTCAAATCTTTTACCCCTTAATCTTTTCCTATCGCTTTTCCTTTGTGTGTGGGAGTGTGTGGATATGCCTATGTACATGTTTATATGTGTGTGAGGGTGCATGTACATATGTGTACTTGTCTGCAAGGATGGGCAGTCAATGTAATGTCTCTCTCTCTCTCTCTCTCTCTCTCTCTCTCTCTCTCTCTCTCTCTCTTTGGTTTTTCGAGACAGGGTTCTCTGTGTAGCTTTGCGCCTTTCCTGGAACTCACTCTGTAGCTCAGGCTGGCCTCGAACTCACAGAGATCCTTTTGCCTCTGCCTTCCAAGTGCTGGGATTAAAGGCATGTGCCGCCATCACCAGGCCAACGTGTCTTTCTCAGTCACTGTATTTTTTGAGACACGATCTCTCATTGAACCTGGAGCTCATCAGTTCAGCAGACTAGCTGGCCAGCAGCCCCCCGGGAGCCTTGGACCTTCAGATTAGAGGTACATGCCATGGCACTTAGCTTTTTATGTGGGCAATGAGGGATCCGAACTCAGATTCTCATGCTTGGTTGTCAAGTGCCTATGACTGAACTATCTCCACAGACATCTCTTTCTTCTTTTCTCTTCTCTCCCTATCTCTTCCTGTCCCCCATGAGGTGAGCTGCCTTGTTCTACTGATGCTCTCTGCCATGATAGTCTTCCTCATCATAGCCCACAGCAAGGAAGCCAGCTGACCATGAACTGTAACCGTGAGCTTGACTAAATCATCCCTTTCCAGAACGGTTTCTCTCAGGAATTCGTCACAGTAAAGAAGTGTCTAACATATGGATATAAATCATACCCCGAGAGACAAAATCAGGTGCCGTTTCTCAAGAGCCATCTTAATGGTTCTTTATCCTTCTTTGTATGTTGCAGACACAGAGATGTGTTCACACGCTCAACAAGTAGTCTATGTAACAGCTGAGTGCAAAGTTGACTGGATACTGTTCCTGCCTCCCTCCTGCCTTGGTCATTTAATATCAGGGAAGAGAAGGAAAGCGTGGAATCCCCTCTGCTCGGAACACTGCGTGTTCCCTACCGCATCGGAAGACTCTCCAAGTTCCCTAGCCACAAACAGGTCTTCTTTCAGAAACCCAGTGTGCTTTTCTGGGTTCTATCATAAATCTCAACATCAGACCACACACTCACAACATCTGCAGGCTCTCTGGGTGAAGCCATGTGCTTATTAACCTCTAACTCTAACCAACAAGGCGTTCAAAAGGGACGGAGTTAGGGACGGAATGGGTTAGGGACTTTTCTCACTGCCATGACAAAATGCCAGATAGAAGCAGCTTACAGGAAGAAAGGTTTGTGTGGGTTCGCTCTTTCTGAGGGCTCGGTTCGTTGCTGGGTAGCCCTAGGGACTCAGTCTAGTTTGGTGGTAGGGCGGTGTGGTGCTGCTGTAGCTGTTGGAAAGAAGGGGTGGGTGTAGAGAGCATGCATGCAAAGCCATGACCAGGTATCCAACCTTCAAAGGCCCCTTCTTAGTCATTTCCTTCTTCCAACTAGACCATACCCCCTACAGTCCCCAGAACCTCACCAAATAGCTCCATCAGCTGGGGACCAAGCATTTAACACAAGAGCCTGGGGAAGACGTTTACTGTTGAAAGCAAATCACAAGATACTCTGATGATTGGTAAAAAACAAACAAACAAACAACAACAAAACCCAAAAACCTCCTCTGCTCCCCACGTTGACAGTCACCCTCGCCAAACAGGACAACGCGACACTCTGCTAAGTCCACTGCATTTGCGTCTGTTCCGTGGGCATTTCTCTGTGTTTTCAGTTTGCAGATTGCTTGAAAGCTTCCCCCTGGTGGCCATTCGTCACCATTAGTAATAAGAACCTGTAATGTGTCGTGGAAGGGTGACGGACGCCATCAGAGCAGGGGTGCGAGAGGCAGACCTCTCAAGGATCTGTGGGTTCTGAGGCAA